ATACCCGTACCCGACGGGGACGGGGATGGGACAAAAATCACATACCCGACGGGTATGGGGACGGGGACGGGTATGAGTTTCAGTCGCGGGGACGGGGACGGGTATCATGAAACCCGTACCCGCCCCGCCCCGTTGCCATGCCTATGTCTGATACAACTTTTAAGATTGGTTTTTTTGTAACCGATCTAAAAAGTTGTGTCAAACATACCTTTTAAGATCGGTCATAAAATAACCGATCTTAAAAGTACTTTTAAGATCGGTTGAATTTTAATCGATCTTAAAAGTGTTCATTTTATTTACAAAATTGTCACCGCATCACTTTTAAGATCGGTTACAAACTCTGATTTTAAATCTAATTTTTGCACTAGTGAATGTTTCATATCTTTGGCAATTATGTAAAGTGCTTATTTTGACAAAAGGAACATGGGGCTCCAATGTAGGTCTTTATATCATGAAATTTATCAATTAAATGAATTTATTCCAAAATAGGTTCTAAGTTAGGAAATGGAACTATTGGGAACTTAATGATGCAAATGATATCATTGATATACCTCAGGATATGCTTATTGAAAATTCACGTGATCCCTTAGTTGCTATTGTTAATAGTACATACCTATATCTATTCTTGAAAATATGAAATATCCATCTTTTTTTCAACATAGAGAAATTTTAGCCTCTTCAAATGGCATTGTTAATGAGCTGAATGAGTACATTATGTCACTGATTTATGGAGAAAGTAATACATACTCAAGTTTTGATAACCCATGTTTAATACATGACAATGTGGATAGGCCTGATGATGTACATACTTTTGAATTTTTAAACACAATTGTTGCATGTGGACTACCTCATCATAAATTGAAGTTAAAGATTGGTATTCCTTTCATGTTATTGGGGAATATAAACCAATCTTTTGGATTGTACAATAGTACTCAACTCATTGTCACCCAAATGGAGACTCATGTTTAGGAGGCAAAAGTCATTTATGGCAACAAAATTGGAGGAAGGGTACTCATTTCTAGAATGTTATTGATTCCATTTGGTCTAAGAAATCCATTCAAATTTCAGCATAAACAATTTCTTGTGATTATTTCTTTTGCAATGACTATAAACAAAACTCAAGGACAATCTCTCAAATACATTGGCATTTATCTTCCATGATCAAGTGTTTTCACATGGTCAATTGTATGTTGCAATATCAAGGGTTACAACTTATTTTTAATTAAAAATTCTCATATATGATGAAGATCATGTTACAACTATCACTTTGAATGTAGTTTATAGATATACCTCTTTGAAATTTGACTTAAATATTTTTTATTTTTTAATTCAACAAAAATTCAAACTTTAGTAATAATCTTTTCAACTCATCTTTTTAGTTGTTTTTTCTCTGCAAGATTATCATTCTAATCAATAACAAATAAGATGTTTTTTTTTGTATCTAAATGAATGTTGCTATAAAATGAATTTTCATGGGCTAAAAGTTTGTTGTATGTATAAAAATAGAAAATTTTGTATTAATTTTTAATTACTATTTTGAACTTTCAATTTCGAGTATTATTTATTAAATGAATTTGTGCCACAAGTTGTGAACAAATAAAACTGTAACACCCCTCATATTTGACATCGCAACAACTTCATTCCACGACATTTTACATGGTGACACTTTACACAACTTTTCATTGTTCATAATTTTTCATCGGTCAGAACCCTTCATCGGTAGCCCTTTTTGCAATATTTGTCTGCTTTTAAGATCAATGACCGACCCTACCAACCAACACAAGACTTTTAAGTCTGTTTTGTCCTCACTTGCACAATATTTGGAAAGTATTTCAGAAGTTCACTCATCCCTAAATTACTCCAAGCTAAACATATTTAATTATGAAGTTTTTTTGTGATGAATTACCAAAAATAAATGTATTTTATTAGTATAAGTAGTACAAATAAATTTCTTTAAGTCATCCTTAATTACGTAGTATCACATTAATACAAATCTCTAGATCTTTTATTTAAGTATGTCTAAATTGTTACAAAAATATTTTTTTTTTATGTTAGAACATTTCACTTTGTCAAAATTAACTAAAAATACTATTGTTGAAGATTGAGATAAAAACACTCCGATTTAATATACATATTAATCGATCTATTGTTGAAGATTTAACGCGGCTGCATACACAAGGCAAGATTCGAACCCCTGACCTTGCTTAAGCGTGGATCAACCCCTACCGCTGAACCACACGCTTGGAGTTCTATTATAATTTAATATATAAGGTAAATAATAATTATTAATTACAAAATTAATAATTAAGATATCAATAGTCATTTAGTAATATATATATATATATATTTTTTTTTTTTGAGATTTTTCATAACGTTTTATTTTTAAAAATGTATCATTTTCATTTAAAATTAATATTATTAATATTTTAGTCAATACAATGACTATATAAAATATTTATTATATATAACTAAAATTTATAATAAAGGCACCTTATCTTTATAATCCGGTAAAGTAAGTAGTCATTGTCGGGATGGAAAGCTACTCTTCAACCACTTATTTAAGCGCTATGCACCTAAGCTCAGTCTTTCTGGCAGATTCAAAGCTTATGGCCCTTCAATACAACCCTAATGAAGCTTGCCATGGAAGGGAAAGCTTTTCAAATAGACAGCATAAAGGCATACAAGTAAATATTATATTTAAATATATAAATTATATTTAAAGTTTTTATAAATAGACATTTAAAACATATAAATTATATTTTATATTTATAATAAATAATTCATATGATAGCATAATATTATTTTATTTATTGATAATTTATTTTAAAATATTAAATTTAATTCATAAATAATTATGATAAGTAAAAATTAAATTAGATGAGTAGTTAAAAAAAATTTCTAAAAACTCTATTGTTAAAAAAATTTCTAAAAAACTCTTATACAAGATAGAAATTCATATTTTATATATAGAAGCTAATTTTAAAAGATCATCATTAACTATCATATCTATGTCTTTTGATATAAATTAGAATAATTATATTCAACAAAAATATTTTTATCAACTATTTTTAAACTATGGTTTTTTTTTGTCCTTTTTGTTTTCTTATTTAACAAAATTATTTTTAGGATTTTTTTCTTAAATTCTTATATCTTTTTATTTATCATTTTTATTTTTATTTCTTAATTCAATTTCATTATTTTTAAAGTAAATTAAAAATAGATAAAAGTAAGTTTTGTATCATAATATAAATTATTTATTCTAAAATTAAAATATAATTTTTATATACAAAAATATTTATTTATTACAGTATAATTTTTACATGTAAAAAATCTTTATTATAATTTTCATTATATACAACAAAATTGTATCATATTTGTTGCACATGATTTTATCATATTTACTATAACTATTACTTTGGTATCTATAATGCACATATTAAATGTTTATTAAATATAATTAAAATTAAATTAAATTATGTATATAAATAAGTATTATATTTGAATATATAAATTAATATTCTTATATATATACTGATTTATGGAGAAAGTATTTAATTATTAACTTTTAGTTTTTATAAATGATGAGATTAATTTTTAAAAATGTATTATATATATATATATATATAATACAAATGATTATCTAGTGCAAGAGATTTTTTAGGAATTTTTCTTTGATAAGAGAGGTTTTAGGAATTCTATTAACTTAACATCTAATTTAACTTTTACTTGTCATAGTTATTTGTAAATTAAATTTTAATATTTTAAAATAAACTATAAATAGATAAAAACAATCTTATGCTACAATATAAATTATTTTTCATAAATTTAAAATATAATTTATATATTTAAATATACCTATTTATTTAAATTTTAAAATAAGTATTTATTATATAAAACTAAAATTTAAAATAAATTATGTATGCAAATAAATATTATGTTTTAATATGTAAATTATATTTAAAATTTTAATAAATAATTATTTTTAAATATATAAATTATATTTTATATTTATGATAAATAATTTATATTGTAAAACAAAATTATTTTATTTATTAAAAATTTATTTTGAAATATTAAAATATAATTCATAAATAGTTATAATAAATAAAAAAGTTGATTAGATATGAAATTAAAAAAATCTCTAAAAATCTTCTCATCAAAGAAAAATCCTTAAAAATGGTATTGCCCAAGATAATTTTTTATATTTTATATATAAAGGTTGATTTTTGTCTTTTACATAACTTTATTATTTGATTATGCAAAATTTATTAAGTAAAAAACAAAATCACAGAATTTAGAAAACAAAATGTAATAATAATAACTGTTGATTTAAATATCGACAGTTGAAACTATAATGAAACATATAAGCACATATAAAATATATTAACCGATTTTTAAGATCTTATATATTAATGTGGTAAAAAAAATCTTATACATTAATTTTCTAATCAATACTTATATTTATACTTTATATTCTAAAATATATTTTTTAATAAGGCAAATCTAGAAAGATATTAGAAACACATTTTCTTAATATATTATTTTCCTCATTACTTTTTTTTATTTCTTAAATTTTATTAAATAAAAAATAAAACTCTGAAAATTTTGAAAAAAAAAAGTATAATAATAACTGGTGATTTAAATATCGATAGTTGAAATTATAATAAAAAAATATGTACATATAGAATATATTAACGGGTTGTTAAGATCTTATATATTAAGTTTTTCACCTAAAAAAATATATTGAGTTTTTAATCAATAATCATATTCATAATTTATCTTCTAAAATATATCTTTCAATGAGCTAAATCTAGAAAGATATTAGAAACATAATTTGTTAACATATTAATTGTTCTTCGCATAACTTTTATTATTTGGTTACTTGAATTCTAATAGATAAAAGAAATTCACAAAATTTAGCAGATATTACATGAAATTAGGGTATGTTTAGATAAATTTCTCCATAGTTACTTATGGGAGAAGAAAACATGAAAAAATATATGAATGTAGTGTTTTTATAAATTGAAATTAGTTTATACATGTTTTGATAAAAAAAAAAAAAGCTTAATTATAAGTTTTTTTTATTTAAATTAATATGATTTTTTTATAAATTAATTTATGCATAAGTCAATTATAGAAAAATTTATTTATTTATTTATATTTTTTGTCTTATAAGTAATTATGAAGAAGATTATTAAAACATGTTCTTGATAGAAAAAAAATATGTTAGAAAAGGTTTATTGTTAACATAGATATTGATTTAATCTGATATCTAATCTAATATAAATAGTAATAACTGAATCCAATTTTTTGGGTCAGATTAGATCAATTTTAAAATAAACTTAGTTTATTGAACAATTATTCTATCAAAAGTAAATCTGAATGTGATTTTCAAATTTTTGTTTCCCAACATCTTATAACTTGGTGATAATTTTCAAAAATAAAAACAAAAGAAGGAAAGAAGTATAAGTATTCAAGAACAAGGTCCACAAAAAGAACTATAAATTGCATGCAACAACTGGCCTAGTAAAATGCATGTTAGGGCTTAAAAATAGCAGATACTTGATTTCACGCATTTAAGTGAAGCGTCCTTGAAATCTTAGTTTTTCTTTGTGGAAAAGAGAGAGCAAAGTGAGGGAGAAAAACACGGGCGATAAAATCGAGAAGGCAAGAAAGATTCTGATGAATGGTTGGATTTTTTATCTTTGAAAATTAATCTCTCATGTCAGATTTGTTTTATCTTAGACATTCAAAAGGTTCTCAGAAAATCCCGGGAACACCTCTAGATATCACTCCTTTAAGACACAAGATTAGATTTTCCTTAACTGAAGACACGAGATTTTCTTTCCATGTGCCAAGTTATCTGTTTTTGAATGAATATTTTCTGTTACTCCTTTTGGATTATATTCTGTGATCCTTGCATGGATAGTTTGGATCTTTTTGAATTCTCTCAATCTCTCAGTTGTGTTTAAATATATATTTATATATATTTAGTTGGATCTTGTATGATCATATACACATTTGCATGGCTGAAATTGCAGAAAAAAGAATAAGAGGGACTGCATGATAATTTGTGTAGAAGAACATGTGCAACAATGCTTGTAATAGTGCCTGTGCCTGTGGTACTGGTGGGAATGTTGTTAATAATATTTGGAGTTCTGGCTTGAAGAAGCAGCAAAAACGTCCAAGAGTGCCAAAAAGAGGGCCTGGAGTGGCTGAACTTGAGAAGATCTTGAGAGAACAAGAAAGCATAGACATAACTGATAAGGGAAATCCAGAAGGATTTCCATCTTTCATTTCTCATCATTCAAATTCTTATCCTTCTTCATCTTTGACATTTCATCCTACAACTTCAAAGATGATTGTACCTTCTTCTTCTTCTCCTATGTCAAGTAATTTGCCTACTAATGTTCCTGCTGTCCCGAAATTTGATCATTTAGGTCCAACTATGTTACCAACCATAACATCTATCTACGGATCACTGGAAAGAAACAGTGGATCTGGTCTGGTTTCTCCTGAAAAAGAATTGTTTCCTTTGAATATCAATTCATGTAAGTCTAAGTTGAACATTAATGAACCGATTGATGGAAATCGATATGACTCTGCCAGTTCACCATCTAGGAATTTATCCAATGAATCTAATCAGATCTGGCCATATGGTGGAACGACTCAAAAGAGAAACAATGAGTGTTCTCCTCCCACAGTAAGTTTTATGACACATAATTTAGCATCAGTCTATGACTACGTCAAAATGAAAGAAAAGTTTGTTGCTTGTGTATATAGTTTTATATGAAAAATTTATTGAATGTGTTTAACAATTACATGTAGGCCAATCAATTTCGTGGAACTTCGTCAGCTTCATTATCAATCGGACTTCACAGTCATCTAGAGCTTCCTTCAAACCAAAGTTCATATTACAACAACTATACATCTAGAGTCTCAGAAGAACATAAAGTAATTCTCCTGATTATTTTTTATCCTAACTCTTTTATTCTAGAGACATACCTTAATAACATTAAGGTATAAAAATATAGTACAGTTTTAATTCATTTAATTTTTTTTCTCAAACACATTATATATGTTATGTTGTTTTATACAATTTTTGTTTATCTCATGTACATTTAAAGTTAATTTTTGTTTTCTTGAAATTACTTGATAAATTGCTACAAAAATATATACATGAATTTCAACTATCTAAAAATCATAATTCTCTTGACATTGATTAATTGAGTAAATTATTTGAAATTTATTTAAAACTTATTTAGACTTGACACACACACACACACATATATATATATATATATATATA